TACAGGGGCTGAGTTTTTAGGCCAGGCCCCACAGGTAGGCCTTTGTGAAGATAGGGAAAGAAGAACAAGGCTGATATGGAGGAAGGGGCCAGAGTAGACCAGAGAAGAGTTTCCTGGTATGAGGGTTCCAGGTCTTAAACAGGGGCCCCAGGTACCATGAAGGCATTGTTACTGGACAATGGTGGGTCTAGAATGACTCCTCCTAGCAAGTGTCTTGAGCAGTGTTTTGCAGCCTAGCTGGGAGGACAAGGGCAAAGGTCAGTTAATACTTAGAAGAGAAATTCCCAACAGATGAAGAACTCTTCAAAGATGAATTTTGAGAGGGCTGTTATGTAAATGAGGAGCAAGTAGGAGCCATGTTGTCATGTCAACGAGTAGACAACTGTTGGCGTCTTATGTGAGTGAGTACTTGTCTAGGAAGGAGCAGAGACAAGAACACAGAGGCCTCTGTTGTGGGCCTGTCATGAAGGTCTCCTTTGCATTATCATGGCTGTCACACAAACACACCCCCCAAACACACACACACACATTCTGTCTTTGGCTCCCCTTGATATCTTTCCTCCTCTTTGCGTAGAGTGAATAGAGAGCTCTGGAGAAGGTGGAGTCTGAAACAAAGAGGCCATTAAACTATCCAGATTTGTCTGGCCAGAGGGAACATCTTTTTCTCACTCCTGACCCAGAAGGAGCACCTTTTTATAATCTGAACAAAGTACAGGCTAACAGCCCTGTTATGTGCAAATGGCCAGCCCCAGCCCGTTTTTTTAAGCTGACTTCCCAGGGTAGTAGACCGTGGAAGGGAATTAAGGAGACCAATCATAGCTTGTCTCATCTGGAAGTCTTCTCGATCTGGGGCTTCCCACCTCAGCCTGGAACTTAGGCTGTTGAGAATGTGTAGACAGAGCCTCTGGGGGCTTTCTCTAAGGATGCTGGATCTGAGGCGGGGCCAGGAAGGAGAGGAAGAACAGAGGGTATTCCTTCTCTCTGCCACAGGCCTGCACCTGGAACTCAGTTCTAAAGTTTATCTCTTGATCACACAGCCAGCCCTGAGCTGGTCTCAAGACACCAGCCTTCAGCCAAGAATCCACCTAGTTTTTTAGAACAACTTTGAATATGATGGGCGCCAGTCCCTCCTTTAAAAAGCCATCAAGTTGCCGAAGTTGGCAGTTACCCAGTTGGACCTCACCAGGGCCTGATCACTCAGCCATCTTAACCACTGAATCAAGTTAGGATGGGCCCCGGCTTCCGAGCTCAGGCTTGTAAAGGGCTATGGAGCAGCTTTGTTCATTTAGCCAGATTTAGTGAGCACTTACTCTGTGCCAGGCACTGCTGGTTACTTGGGCACAGTACTGAACTGGTCATGCATGGCCTCTGCCTTCAACAGACTCCCACTCAGATGGAGAGACAGGCAATAAAACAAGCAATTACGCCACTGAGTAATAGTGCTGTGGCATACAGAAGCCACTCATTTTTGGAAGAGTAAAATGAATGAAAGATCAAATGAATGAACAATGGAGTGTTGTGCCATCCTGACCTGGGAGGTTAGAGAAGGCTTTCTAGAGGAGGTGGTATGTAACCTGGAGGATGTAGAAATTTAGCCATATGAAATGAAGTAATGGGGAAGAGTGGCAGGGGAAATGGCAGCGGAAATGGCATGTGCAAATGGCCTGGGGTTGGGAGAGCGAGATGTGGTGACAGAACCAAGAAAATTCTAACTGATCGGCTTAGGTTATGGGGGCCACAGTGGGGGTATTTGGAAGAGATGAGGCTTGTGAAATACTCCAGGTTGTGTTGTAAATTATATTGTCATCCATGTCGAAGAATTTATACTCATCCAAAGAAATGGGACTTTTAAACAAACAGGAGATGTTGGTATTTTCAGGCACCAGGGTCAACCCAATGAGAACATTGCAGACGACCTTTATCTGTTTTCTGGAAAGGATGGAAAAGCATGATGCTTGATATAGTTCTCAGTTCTAATTACACAAGTTACATGTGGATATGGTCATGGTCAGGTGGAGATGTGCTGAAAGTGTGTCTGTGATCTCAGGGTGTAGGGATGAGAAGGTGAACAGGGCAGAGTTCCCTTCTGTATCCACTAGCCTAGAGGGGGCTCACACTCAGGAAATCCTTGCCCATGGGGGCCCATGATGCACCAGGACAGCTGCTTTGAAATTGGTAGTCAGGGCTGGGAACAAGGACTTGGGGAGAGGAAGGCCAGCCTGGATGCCCCCAGGTATCGAGTCAGTTATAATGGATAGATAATGGAAGCCGTCATACTCACAGGCCCCTTCATTAGAGATCTTCCAGCCTGGCCCCCTCCAAAAGGGCTTGCCTGATTCACTGGCCACCAAACATTCACCATCTCTGAGGCAAAGATTATCTGTACCCATCCTTGGACCAAGGCCCAGTCCGAGAGCCCATCAGACCCCATGATGCTTTCTCATTCCTGACGGAGGTGGTAGAAATACACATGTTGCCACTGAACGCCCAGAGGGGGGCAAGATACAGCATCCGTACTGCAGATGGGAAGACAAAAAGGAGGAGCTGAATGGGAACAGGGCCTTTACATTATTTTTAAAAGAAGTCTCACTTAACAAAACTCCAGTTGAGCAATATCCTTTTGAGGTCCCTTGTCCCAAAGCAAAGCTCGCCAGGTCACCAGGCAGATAAAGCAGTAGCTGTGCTGGGTAGAACTTGGTAAAGCTGGACCATCACCTTGTCTGTGTGCAAAGCCTCATGGGAGAATGCACAAAGGAAGTTCCGCCTCCCCCGTCCAGAAGCTGACATCCTGAGCTGCCAGAGTTCGCTGTTACCCTCACAGCCCTGGTGTCTCTGTGTCTCACCCTCATGACCAATTGCTGAGAAGGCAGACATGGTTCTCTAAGAAAGCCCCAAAGTCCCATTCCTTTAGGCCCAAGGTACAAGGAATGAGGGGTGGGAGGGAAGCAGACTCTTGATGGTGAGGCCTTGCTAATATGCATGGGGCCCAGGGCAAGAGTAGAGAAGGAGTCCCACACACTCTACATCTCAATGTTTATAAATCAAGCCAGCAAACATAAACATAATATGTTCTCCTGTCTTGGCAAACGTACCTTGAAAATGGATCTGGAAAGTCAGGTTTGATTTTAGAATCTCACACCCCTCGGAGTGGCCAGCCACAACATGGCAGTGTGGTGGGGGGGCGGGGGTTGGGGACCCTGCCTCAAGGCCCTGGCCCCTCCCTTTCTCCTCCTACCGCTTGCACCAACCAACACCATGGGCCTCCCACACGTGCACGTGGACACCTCAGCCTGGACATCAAAGCTCTGTCCAAATGGCCACCCTTGGACCTGAGAGCGTGCACATCTGAAGCATGGTGTGTCCCCAGTAGAAGAGATCCACGGATGAGCCTGCAGAGACCCTGGAAGGGGGCTCAGAGGCCATTTAAACAGAGAATTCTGGGATCTCAGAGACCCATAAGGTGCTCTCAGGGAAAGTAGTTTCCAGGTAGTGTCCTCCCGGCCCCACAGATTTCTTGCTGCCTGAGGATGGTTATCACCTGAGGAGGCCCAGGGCAGGAGTCCCTCTTGCCCACAGCTAAATAAGCATGGTACTGTTGGCAGGGACCACGGCATCATCACAGCTGTGACACTGGTCTGAACGTTTAAAGAAAACCATGCACTGTGCTTCTGAATACACCACTGCCTTCCCAAGAGCTGGCTCAACCTCCGTTCCTCCTTCATCTGTCCCAGATCAGACCCCCACAGGACTCTGGGAAGACCTCCCCATTCCCACTCACCCCAAGGCCAAATGTCCAAGCCCCTCCCAACGCCCTTTGTCCCAAGCACATCCTCGAGATCTTGACACCTCCACAGAGGCAAGCTCTAGCCCCCACTGCATTTTCAGCAAGAGTTTCTTGATCCAACTTGGGCACCAAGGGACTGACGAGGTTAGTGTTGATGGCTTGAGGTCCCCTTGCTGAGAAAACCAAACAGAACTGATGCCTCACCTAGTAGGAACACTGAAAAACCAAAACTCAAAGCTCAGGGCCAAGTGTGAGGGTGTGCAGAAAGGTGTGTGTTTTTTCTTGTCATTTTCGACTCTAATGATGGACTCACGTTGCCCGCTCTTCCCTTTCTCTTACACCTTACCTACCTACTAAAGGAGGAGCTCTTGCTTGGTAAGTGGATATAATCCGCAAAGACATGAGAGAATTTATTAGAAGCCACTCGAGAGCCTTAGCTACCTTCTCCAGGGGGAAAAGGACACACACAAATATCCGTAGAGAGCTTTTTTTTCGTTTGTTTTCAGCCAGACTATTTGACTTCCATTTTTTTTGCCCCCCTTTCTTTTCCCCTTTAGTTGAAAACTACTAAAATGTCATTTTGTGACCTTGACTTTATATTTAAAAAAAAAAAAAACTCTCTTTATTTCATTTCTTTTCCCCATGCGATATTTGTTTAGGGTTCTATTCAGGGAACTTTTTCTTTAAAAAAAAAAAAAAAGTCAAATTCGTTGAGGATTTGGTTGAAGTTTAAAATTTTGGCTTTATCTCTCTTTTTTTTTTAAGTTAAAAGATATATGTTTTTCATGCCCATTGTCCCATTTCTTTTCCCCTTCCCCTTCCTTCATTTTTATTATTGTTTTAGGTGAAGGGTGTGACACACACCCCTTTCGATTGAGTTGTCTCTTTTGTTTGAGTTAATTCATTAGAAATTAAATTTTGTATAATTTCCTTTTTCTTTGGTTTAATCTGGATCGCATGCTTTTTCTCTGCATGATACTTAAATCTTCCAGTTATTCTAACAGGGGGTAAAAAAATATCTCCTTTCTGTGGAATTCTTTCAGGAATTTGTGCTTTTGGTTTTTTTTTGGCGTCTCTCTTTCCTCTTCTCTCTCTCTCTCTCTCTCTCTCTTTCCTTTCGTTACAGTGCATCATGACGGTAAACATTTCTTGGTTATTTAGACACAGTGCACAGGCCCAGCGATCAGCAGTGTCCAACGGGTGTTTTTGCTTTCAGATCACTGGGTCGGGGTCTGCAGCTGACCTCTTTACCAAAACAGCCAGCCCGCTCACCACCTCCAGAGGACGCTCCCAGGAGTATGACTCAGGCAATGACACCTCTTCACCACCCTCCACGCAAATCAGCTCAGCCAGGTCACGGGGTCAAGAGAAGGGGAGCCCCAGTGAGGGCCTCACCAAGAGCCAAGAGCTCAACTGTGGCAACACCTCCGATTCAGGGAACTCCTTCACCACCTCCTCACCCCAGAACAAGGGAGCCACTTTGGAGAATCTCTCCCCCACCAGCAGGGGCAGAGAGTCAAGGTCAGTGCACCTGGGCTGGAGGAGGGGTGGGGGGAGGGGTTTCTGCCTTAGCTCTACCATCTCAGTCTCTCACCTTAGCCCTGTACCCATGCACTTCCCACCCATAATTTGGGCCCCCGCCCCCGCCCAAATTATGTCAGTTTGAGTTTTCTCTCTCTTGCAAATCAAAGCCTCCTGGATTATGGGTGGGAAGTGCATGGGTACAGGGCTGCCTTCCCCATTACATCTCTCATCTCTGCTTCCCTCTCTATTGGCTTCATGCTCAAGCAGACCCTCCCAAAGCATGGCACATATGCCAACAGCCTTCACATATGCTAACCATTCTATCTGTTTAGCCAGCCAATGGAAGGAGAATGCTCTTTCCCAAAAATTTCAGCAAAATACCAGGGCAGATTCTCATTGTTTCTGCTTGGCCCATCTTGGGTCATTTGCCCACCCTTAGACCAGTCACTCTGGCCCAGGAGATGCTGTGCTCTTGGCAAGAATATGTCACATGCTACCATCAGGGTTAGTGAGTAGTCTTCCCACATACACAAAAGTTGGGGGAGGTCCAGTTGTCTGAAGGAAACGTCAGGGTACTGATATCAGGAAGGATGGAGATGGGCAGGAAAAAACAAATACCAGTTTTACCAGTAATCTCAGGAGAAGGTCTAACATTAAGTTCATTTAAAGTTGCGGTCATGTTAAAACATTTAAATGCACTGAAACCTTGTGTCAACACAAAAACCTGCTCCTGGATGTTTGTAGCAGCTTTATTCATAATTGCCCAAACTTGGAAACACCTAAGACGTTCTTCAGTAGGTGAATAAACTGTAGTACATCCAGACAAGGGAATATTATTCAGCACTAAAAAGAAATGAGCTATCAAGCCATGAAGAGACGTGGAGGAAATTTAAATGAGTGAAAGAAACCAGTCTGAAGGCTACCTATGGTACAATTCCAACTCTATGACATTCTGGAAAAGGCAAAACTAAGGAGACAGTAAGCAGATCAGTGGGTAGAGAGATGTAGAGAGGGCAGGGGTTAGAGAGAGATGAACAGGTGGAGCACAGATCCATAGTTTACATTTATCAAAACCCATTGGGTTCACAAGAGTGAACGCTAATGGAAACCGTGGACTCCAGGGTGATGACGTGTCAGTGGAGGTTCACTGGTGGTAACAAATGTATCGCTCTTATGTGAGATGTGGAGAGTACAGAGGGTTCCCATACAGTGTGTACATGTGTGCCTGTGTGTGAGTGTGTGTATCTTCACACCTTGCTAGATGCAGTTTTCCTGCAGAGAACCTTGCATGCAGCGGCTTATGAGCCAGGTGTAAACTCTACTTCATTACCCCCTTACCCTCTCATTCAAGAAATCACAGCAAAATGCTAATCACTGAGGATAATGTCACAATTACAGCTAGTAGAAATCGCTGATCATTGACTCTCTATCATTCATTCAGCTACTTATCCGTCTCCTGGTCATCAGGCACCTCCTAGAAGCCAGCCACTCAGCTTGGTGCTGGAGAAAGGAAAATGGCACGGTCCTTTTCCTCAGCAGCATATAATGAGGCAGATGCAGGAGGGGTGGAAGAGATTTGCTGGTTACATTCTCATGCTAACAGTGGGGTCTTCTTTCTTCTGGGGGTTGGAGTCTGCTTTTGCTCAAAGTGGCCAAGATGTCAGAATGATAAGCAAAGCCTTAGCAGTGAAGCAGTTAATGGTTTCTTCAAGGACAGAGCGCCCTTTGTCCCCAACACATAGCCCACTTCAGTTCTGGACAAACAGCTTGGCATCTCCACAGAGCCTCTGGTTTGCCTGCCCTGGGACATCCCTGGCCTCAGTTCACACCCAAGCCTGCCAGGGAGCCAGGGCTGGGTCAGAACAAATGTCAGTATCTCCGAGAACAGGCAGTGAAATTCCCAGATGAGATAGGGAGGACAGGTGTCTACTTACATACGGCAGGGCAAAAAAAAAAAAAAAAAAAAAAAAACCCAGAATAGTAATAGTAATAACAACTGATAATAATAATGACTACTAATATGTGTTGAGCCCTGATTATACGCTAGGTGCCATGCCAAGTGCTTGCCGTGGATCATCTTCCTTCACTCCTCATAGAACCTTTATGGGATAAGTATTATCAGAGATCTTTTTTAGCTGGTGGGGAAACTGAGACTCAGAGTAGTTAAGAAACTTAGGATCATAAGGGCCAGCACCAGGATTCACACACAGATGTGTCATAGCCCTGAAGCTAAAGCCTGAGTGGCATCTAGCAGTTTCCTGCTTCATTTGATCTCTATGGACAGCCAAATTAAATCATTTAGACCCAGCCTTTCATTTTGAAATATAAATGATCTCTAAATTCATGGCTATTTATGTCATGTCAGCAATGAGCAGAGAGCTGAGAGGAAGAGACATCATCAGCTCTAAATTTAAGGAACCTTCAACAGTGAAGATAGGGGACTGGTGGGGTGACGGGCATAGGCTTTGAAGCTGGACAGATCAGGGTTTGAGACTCTGGGTGGCCTTGAGGAAGTAACTAACCGTTCTGAGTCTTCCCTGTAAATCGGGGAGAATAGTGCCAGTTTCCTAGGGTTGTTGGGAGGACAACCCTAGGTGGCTGATGCTGGTGGAGCACCCAGGATACTAAGAGGCTCAAGTGTTTATTTCACAACTATTTATTCATGACCTACGACAGATGTATCAGGCTCTGTCCGAGGTGCTGGGATACAGTTTCCAGAGACATGAGTCCTCTCCCCAAGGAGTTCAATGCTCGGGGAGGAAGAGACAATTGTAAGACCAAGTGAGTCCTTCTAGGGACAGGGGGTGCATAGAGGCCGGGGGCCGTGGTAACACATTGAGGGTCACCCAACTAGACTCAGGGAGATGTCAAAAAAAGGCCTCCCAGAAAAGGTGAGGTCAAACTAAAGCCTGAACCATGAGTAGTTATTGTCAGGTGAGGAGGGGAGGGAAGAGGGTTCCAGGCAGTGGGCATGTTCTAAGGCCTGGAGACAGGGAAGGAACAGGGATATTACAGGAGGAACAAGTAGTCCATTATGGCTGGAGTCAAGAGAGGAAAGTGCCAAGAGCTGAGATTGGAGGGGTGTACAGGGGCCGGATCATGATGAGCATGGAAACCATATATTAACAGGATTGGAACTTGACTCCTGGCCCAAACAAATGAACATGCCCTTACTGAGAACCCAACAGGAGCTTCACATGGCTCCAGGCAGGGTGGGAACACAGAAGACAGGACCCTGTCATTGGGTGATTTTGAACAAGCCTTCACTCTTCTTTGGGTCTCAGTTCCCCCATCTGCAAAATGGGCTACATCAAAGTTTCCCAAATTTAAACCACCTATATGGCCCTTTGTTGATTTTCACCATATCCCTGTAGTACTGGTACTTTGACTTTAATAAACTCACTTTTTTATATAAGGAAACTTACACCACTATCTTACCTAGAAATTTTATAGCACTCGTCCTAAATAGAAAGCACCTGCAAAATACATGATTTATATATGAAAATACATAAAGACGGTGTATTTAATTCTAGTTAGCAACAGTTGCCTGCCCAAGGCACCAGATCTGGGAGACTACAGTGTTGAACCCACTAGTACCCAACCCGGAGTTTCTCATTAATGTAATCAGAAGGACTGGAAAAGACTCAAAAGGGAATAAATCTCTATGTGATTGGTGTTATTTACCATTATGCCCATGCCCACTGACCTGAAATGCTCCGAAGTGCCCCCTGTGGAATGTGTCCCCCTCTGTCCCTATTCCTCTGACATCTGTGGCCTGGAAAGTTTCCGCGAGGCAGTAAGATGGGAATAGGTGGAAAGGGGTTTCTGAGAGTACCACAGCCTAGGCGCAGGTAGGGAGAGGAGTATCAGCTCCAGATGCCTGCAGACCAGCGGGCAGGCCATTGCTAACAGGCGTTCTCCCCACATCTGCAGAGGATTTCGGTCGCCATGTCTGGAATGTGCAGAAGTGAAGAAGTCCAGTTTGGTCCCATCCACAGCCCGGAGCTCCCCCATGAGAGGGTGCTCCCGCAGCCCCTCCTATGCCAGCACCCGTTCTTCCAGCCACTCCTCCCGATCCCCAAACCCCAGGGCCTCCCCCAGGTACACCCGAAGCCGATCCACCTCCTCTGGAAAAAGGTGAGTGCCGCTTTGACCTCTGTTCTGCAGCGCTTTCCTCCTTAGGGAGCTAGTTATGGTAACCGGAGATGGCCTTTGGCCCTCGGCGGAGAAGGAGTCAGACAGACTTGAGTTTTGAATGCCCACTATATCCATTCCTAGCTGGTGGCCCTGGGCCTCAAATAACCTCTCCGAGCCTCAGTTTCCTTATCTGCAAAGTGAAAACATTCACCTCTCTGTGCCTCGGTTTTCCCATCTGTGGAATGGGATTGATAATAGTACCTAATGCTAGGATGTGTTGAGGATTCAATGAGAGAATGCACACAAAGCATTAGTTCAGTGTCTGACACGTAATAAAATACACAACAATCATAGCTAACATTTCCTGTGTGCTGTCTATATGAGGTATGTGATTGACCCTAATTTACTCATTTAATTTACAACTCTATAGGGTAAGTACGATTATTTATCCCCATTTTATAGATGAGAAAACAGAGGCCCAGAGAAGTGAAATCACCTGTTCAAGGTCATACAGCTAATAAGTGGCCTTAAATGGTAAGAATTCAAGAAGAAGTTGTCATTATTATTAATCGGCCAGAAGAGAGGGAATTTCATTCTCAGGAAAGGGCCAGATTCCTCGGCCTGGCGTCCAGAAAGAAGAAGGTCTCCCTCAGGGGACCAGCTGAATAAAGCCCTACACATCCGGGACGACCCCGTCGAAGCCCAGCAGGCCCCTCGGGGACTGTTTACTCTCCCGCAGGTCCTACTCGCGCTCTTCCAGCTATTCCTCCAAGTCGGGCAAGAGGAGCCCACCCAGCAGAAGCTCCCGATCGCGCCGCAGCCCCAGCTACTCCCGTTACAGCCCCAACAGGTACAGGCCCCGCCCCCAAGCACAGGCCCCGCCTCCCCGGCCTCCTCCTCCACCCACCTCTCTGGGGAGCTTCACCCAAGCCCCGCCCCTGCTCCCTCCTCGTCTAGCATTGCAGGAGTAGGGATGGGGAGACGACCCAGCATCCTTGTAGTTTTCTTCGTCTCCGCTGGAGTGGATATGTTTGGGCCCCCAAACATATCCTTGAGTCCTAACGTACCCCCGTAATATACAGCCAGCCACACCCCAGAACTCACATCCCGGCCCTCAACCTCTTCACACACCTAATACTACCCTTCATCCCCATATTCAGAGCCCCCGGTTCTTACGCATGCACCAGGGCCCTCTTGACGTCCACATTCTCACCCCCGCAGCGCCCGCGCCCCTGTAATGCCCACCCTCGAAGGCTGAGCACCCGGGCACACGCCCGGCCTCCCCCCACAGTATTGAACCACAGCCCTGTCCTTTTCCCTCCCGCATTCCCTGAGGCCCCGGGAGAAACCATCCCCTGCCCCAGCGGGGTGCAGGGGCAGGTGAGAGGAAGTGAGTGCCCCTGGCTCATGCGGATCTCCCAGCTCCCCAGTAATCCCCGCATCCCTTCAGGGAGCGGGACCCCAAGTACAATGAGAAGGACTCCCAGCAGCGGGAGCGCGAGCGAGCGCGTCGGAGACGGCGGTCCTACTCGCCCATGCGGAAGCGCCGGAGAGACTCCCCGAGCCACCTGGAGGCGCGGAGGATAACCAGGTAAGGCCAGGAGGGCCGGGGGTGCCCACCTTCACCCTCACTCCCACCCCTCCCACCCGCTAGGGCCCCGGGTTCTCCCCGTGCCCCCTTGGAGCTGGATTTCAGGATTGTGGGAGCTCAGACACACTTTGCGGGCTCGGCTGGGAGGGGGCAGGGCCTCCGGGGCGGGGCTAGGATGGGTGCCTGGAACAGGGGTGGGATCAGCCTGAGGAATCCGGGGGGGGGTGGCCCAAGGGGTGTGGCCGGGGTCTGCGGAGGGGGCTGGGAGGTCGCGTCGAGGAAACGGGGGCCAAAGCAGTAGGGCAGGGCCTTTGCCTGGGGGGTGGAGCCGGCCAGTGGAGACAGATCACGCTCAGACGCACAAACCAGGCTTTAATAGGCCCTGATCACACCCTGCACCAAGTGTGGAGAGGGCAAGAAGGATCATTTAGGTGCCAAAGGAACTTAGAGGGAGCCCTGGTGGGTGAGGGGGAGAGGTCGGTGAGGGGCTCTGGAGTGGAATCCCGGCTGTGCCACTTTTCAGGTAAGCTGGGAAAGTCTCTTCACCTCCAGAGAAGGAGTCAGACAGACCTCACCCGAGGTCTTCAGTCCTCACCCGTGAAGGATGGAAGGAAATAACTCCCAGGAATATCATGAGGATGAAATGCAAGGGGGCAAAGAGATGGGAACCCACTTTGTAAACTGAAATGCAGAACACTAGAACCCTCAGTGTGCCGTTGTTTCGGATTGAATGGTCAGACTAGGTGGATAAGGTTTCCCGTAACAGCTAAGGTCTTAGATGAGAAAAGCCCTAGAAAAGAAGCCTGAGGTCTGAGTGGACAAGTATTTCTTAAGCCTTGAAAGCAGTAAGAATGGCTGAGTCTTGCCCTAAAATTGGCTGCTGACAATCAGTTGGGCTCTTCCTCCTGGCCCTCCAAGGGTCAGCCACTCCATCCACAGACTCACGGGACTGGGGCTGGGGTGTCCTCCTGGCTGCCTAGTGCCTCCTCCCTAGAGATGACCTGGAGGAGGAAAAAGCACTTGTGCCCCAAACAATAAGATGGGGATAAAGCATCACCTTCTCAGATACCCCCCGGGACACCCTGGTACACAGGAAGTCCTACACCCACCGCGTTGACCAGAGGTGTCCTTGAGGTTGACTTGGAGGACGGCTGAGCTAAACAAAGTGGCATTTCTAAAAGGCCCTCTTGTTTCCTTAGTCAACCTCAAATAGTCCATCTTGATGAACCCATTCAGTGTTTCCCAAACTTCAGTCACCCAGAGCATCTGAGCACTTTTGACTTGTCTGTTTAGTAAGTGTACTTACTGTAGCTTACTTAATTTTCTTTAAATAGATACGCCCTTTCTTAGAGGTCCATACATTTAATTCAAAAGGAATACACCACAGTATGCTATAGTAAATGGACAACCAGCCTCTCTTACCGTAAATAGAAGGTCCTAGTAAAAGTAAAAGCACAACAAAACTGCAATTAAAGTCTAGGTGTAGATCCTATTGCCAGTTGGAGGATCCGAGCCCCGGGCTTGCTTTATTAAAAAGTGAGATCGGTGACTTCTCAAGACCCCAGCACTAGGCTGAGACCCTCCCCTGGACGTTCTCGGGACAGCACGAGGAGCGTAGGCGGAGGGCCTCCCAGGGGCCTGGGAGGTGGAAGTTCCTGCTCTGCCCCGCCCCCCGCCGGCAGGCGCCCCGGGGCCGGGGTGGGCGGAGTCTGGTCCTCAAGCCGCTCCGTCTGCTCTCCGCAGTGCCCGGAAACGCCCCATCCCCTACTACCGGCCCAGCCCCTCCTCCTCCGGCAGCCTCAGCAGCGCCTCCTCCTGGTACAGCAGCAGCAGCCGCTCGGCCAGCCGCAGCTCTTCCCGCAGCCGCAGCTCTTCCCGCAGCCGCAGCCGCAGCCGCAGCCGCAGCCGCAGCCGGACCCGCGCAAGCAGCGGCTCCAGCTCGCGCAGCCCCAGCCTGGGCTCCCGGAGCCGGAGCCGGAGCCGGAGCTACAGCTCAGCAGACAGCTACTCCAGCACGAGGCGCTAAGCCCGAGCCCTCCCTTGAGCCGGCTGCCTGCAGGGGGGCCCCTCTCACTCTGCCAGCCTACCCCCCCTCCCCTGCCCCCCCTGCCTGCTCCCTGGGGACGGACCTTGCGGGCTCCTGGACCCTGTCCTTCCTGCTCTCCTGGGGAGGAGGAAAAGGGGGTACGGGGCCTTCAGCCTCTATGTCAAACCGCCAGGAGCCTCCACCAGCACCACCCCGGGGCTCGACTCGGGCCTGGGCGTATGGAGAGAACCACCCTCTGTTGGCACAAAAAACCTCAAGGTTCTGTGAGAAGCAACGGGTCCGTGACTCCAACGCTTGGGCCTGGCCAGGAAAACAGAGTTCTGCTCACCCACTGCTCCTAGGATGCATATGGAAGGCTAGCATCACACCTGCCCTCCTTCTCCCCTCATTCGGCCTCCTGGGCGGGTGTGTGAACCCTCGTGGGGTGGGAGGAGACGAGAGGAAATCAAGGGCAGTTAGGCCCGGGAGAGGGGGTCAGGCCTTTCACCGCCCACCCATCCCCGAACGGAGCAAAGGCTAGAAGGCAATCGGAAGGGGGAGAGAAGGGATCTGAGTAGGGATCGTGGAGGTTTCAGTGGGGAGGAAGTGTCAGGAGAGAGGAAATGGGTTCTCTGGTTGTGAGTATAGACGCAAAAGGGCAGGGGTCATTCTGCTGCCCACCCCCCCCCCCCCCATTATCTTGGCCTGGTCAGGAAAAGCGGTCCAGTAGGTTCTAGCAATGGAGAGGCCCCCACATGGCTTAGACAGCCTCTTGGCTGTTCACAGGGCCCCTGAACCTCCCTGAGAAAGGACACAGTGGACAGGACAGCTTGGTCCACAGCCCCACAGCCCAGATTTGCCTCAGCTCCCACTAGCTGGCACCAGCTTAATTCCACGAGACCATCTGCTGAACGTCCCCCAGTGCCATGGCCAGCTGCCAGTCCCCAGCGCCGGCCAGTCTGGCCTTACCCTCCCGTCGGTGCCTGCCTGCCCCCTCCCCCACCGCCCAGACGGCCACACCCTGGAGCCCACCCAAAACAGCCGAGCATCGGCTCACCCGCCCTCAGCCCCAGCCAACCCCTTTGCCTCTCAGGAATTTTGCCAGGATGGGGCACAGCAGCTCAGATTTTGGGAGGAAAGACCCAAATCCAGAGAGTGTGAGGGGACAGGGGCTTGGATACTCCATAGCCTGGGATTCTCCTGGCTTCTGAGGCTTCTCTATCAGCTCAAGCCCCACCTTCATCTCTGCCCTCCCCCTATCTTCCCTCTGCCCAGGGCTGGGCAGCAGGGGTAAGCTGATCTCCAACACACAAATACCACCAGTTGCTTCATCCGCAGCAGGCACTGAGAACAGGGGTGTGAGGGAGAGGATCCTTAAAATAAACCCTTGGGCATCCCCCTCACCAGCTGACTGGCTTTCCGGAGCCTTGTGGGCGAGTTTCAGGTTTGCGGTAGCAAGGGCAGCGGGACAGGGCATGGAGGGAGACAGTGAGGGGGGACAGTTCCTGGCTCTGGATACTGGGGCCAGCTATGGGGAAGCAGGGACCAAACACTATCCCTCCCACCCCAGGGAAAACATTGGCACAAAAAAATCCTTTTTCTTGAAAGCCGTGACCTGTCCCCCCCCACCCCCCATCTTTCCCATTACATCAGCCCGTGGGCCAGAAACTGCCCTGCAACCACCCACAAGTCCTTCCTCCATCAGGAGAGCCGAAAGCGAGGCGCCCCAGACAGCACTGGACGACCTGGCCTTCCCATGATGCCCTCTGGCCCAGCCCTGGGCCCCACCTGCCCAGACTGACAGATGCCGATGCCGTCACTGCAGAAGGCCGGATGGCAGGTGCCTGGGACAGGGGCAGGTGCCCTGGGAGGGCATGTACAGCAACTGTAAATAACCCTCTTCCCTGCCCAGGAACGCAAACTGGGCTCCAGTCTCCCATCATGGAGCCACGGAACCTCATTAGCGGGACAGCAGTGAGCGAGGCCCGAGAGCCTCCCATCAGACTGCCTTCAGACAACTCTAGGGGACCATTTTGCCTGGGGCTCCTAGCAAACCTATTATTTATTTTATTTATTTATGTTTATTTATTTATTTATGTGATGATTTCTCTCTCTCTCTCTCTCTCTCTCTCTCTCTCTCTAGTTGCCATTAGCAGTATTCAACTATTTATTTACATGGAGAGGTGTGTGTATGTGTGTGTGTGTGTGTGTGTTTCGGGGTGGGGGGGCTTCTAAATTATTTTTGCGCATCTTTTTTCCCTCATGTCTTTGTGGGTGGAATCTGAGAGGTCGGGTGTTGAGTAGGGATGTTGGCTTTGTCCCTGCAGGGGAGACCCACAGAGCTCTAAGTCCAAACATCCTGGAGTTGGCCTGAGAGGGTGGGGGGAGCGCTTCAGACCCAAGGTTCGTCGTTACGTCAGTGAGGTTCAGGCTTGCGCCCCAGCTCCCTGCCCACCAGCTGCACTGAGGCATCAGAAAGCTGAAGAACAGCCACGAGGCTTGTGAGCTAAGGCCCCGAAATGGTACAGTGGAGTCACAGCTCACGTGGGGGTTGGAGTCTAAAGTTAGCATAACCTAACTAAGGCAAAATTTGCAGAGCCCGAGATCTCGGTGTGAGAGCTTTAGGGAGGCACCTGCTGGGAGACAGCTATACTGTCTCTGGCCCACTGAGGAGGCTTTGTGCAGTACTTATTGAAGTAGCCGCCTTGGGTTTGGGCAGCCATGGTGGTTGAAGCAATGTCTGGTTTAGCAGTGGGATTGAACTTCGAGGTGACAAGGAGAGAGTATGGCAAGAATTAAGCTGACTGAGGGGAGAGAAGATGCACCTGTGGTCTCTCACCCTTATTCCAGGGCATACGGTAGTGGGCAGGATCCCTCACTAGCTTTTCTGAGCATGCCTGGTTGGTTCCATGTAAATTATACATGCTTCTGCCTCCCCTGTAGCCCATTTCTCCCCATCCCCTGAGGTTTTTCCAGGCTGCTCTCTTCCTTCTGCAGTAGACACACACTGCTTTCCGGAGCAGTGTCCACCATCCTAAGAGAGATACACAGACTCCAAGCAAAAAGCCTTTTACTGTGATCTTTTGCTTTCCATCAGAGGAGAGCACAAAGCTATTTCAGAAATTAGGGAAAGGGGGGGGAAAAAGACAAGATGAAAGGAGCAGCCAGAGGTCCCCCCAAGAAGGTCATTTCGGGGCCCATCGAGCCCGGATCTAGAGGCCTTTACCAGTCCTGCCTCTGACTAACTGCAGGGTCTTCTTGCTGCTTCCCAGAGAGGGCCCCACCCTTTCCAAAGTCACCATTCACTGCCTTGAAATCGCCAGCTCCTCTGGGTCCAGCTTTGAGTTTGGAGAGATTTCTGCAACATCCCTGGTTGTTTCCCTGGCAATGTGATTTTACCCAGCTCTAACCCCCAGCCAGGGGAAAGTTTGCAAGAAGGCTGCTTAAATGCTTCCCGGGGGTGGGGGGTGAGGGAGGGAATCTCTGTCCCTCCCTCTTGCCGGATATGCTTCTCTAATTTCCCTTACATTTTCTTTCTTATGCATCCAAAAATAAAACGCTTGTTGGGGTGCTGGTAACCTTGCTTAACCAGAGCCCCCAGTTCCTGGCATCAGCATTCCTCTGCCTACTTCGCCCACATTACCTTCTGTTTCCAGAGAATGAGACAAATTGCCTGAAACCTGCGTGTGGTATGCACTTATTTTAAAAGCCAGCATTGGGGGGTGTGGCACGTGGCCCAGCAAACATGCAGCCTTCCTGGATGAATGAACCTGGACAGATCACTCCATTTTTCCAAGCCAAAAATTACCCCTTTGAGAAGTGGCGGAGTTTTTGAGATATAATCCAGAATGTTGACCAGAGGCCTGGGAAATTGTCCAAAGACAGGGTGAGTTCACCAGGATTGAGAAGAAAAAGGAAAACAGCCTCAAATCTTTTTAGGAGGTTCTCAATCATTAGAGTAGAACTTAAAGCAATATGTGAATTCTAATTCCCTCAAAGCTAACTCCCTCAAAGCCCCCATCCAGGAATATTCTAGTTCCTCAAGGTTCGACTGCCTTCCTATCTCTGTTTCTTCCCTTCTTGAAGGAAAGGCAATCTTTCAGAAGCCAAACAACATTTAAGATGTTTGAAAGACACGAGGGTCTTGGTCTCAGAGAGCCCCCATCATCCATGAGCTCAGAACCATCCTCTTTCCCAAAGGCTTTGCTTGAAAAGGGCCAGCATTCGGTGCTCCCAAAGGTTCCCAAGCACTTTTTTTTTAAGTCCCACTCCCATAATTTCTTCTGCTCTATTCTTTTCCACGAATATTCAAAATAGTCACACAAGCATGTGTCTTGCCTTGCTTCACTCTCCAGCTAAATAGAAAAGTTTGATTAAAAAACAAACAGAATTCCTCCAACCGCTCCCTCCTCCGTTAGCCAGCTGCCTCCAGCTGAGGAGCTCATGCTAGATCCAGTGTCATCAAGCAATGCTTTATCGCTTATCGCAACCTCTTCCTCCTCACTTCTGCACCAATGACCCAGTGATACGGATAGACTTGGCATCTCCCCTCTGTCTGTGGCTGCTGTTTTGGACTTTTTTTTCTTTATTGAGGGTTTTTTTTGGGGGGGAGGGTTGTTTTGCATTGTAAATACCATGATGGGGGGGCCCCTCATCAGAACATGGCTTATTTAATAATTTATTGCCTATTTATTGAGTGGTATCGGGAGAGGAGAGGGACCACCTCTTTCCCTGAATTGCTATTGGAAATTGGTGATCTCCCAGCTCTGGGTGCGGCCGTCTGCAGCAAGGGGCATGATCACCCAGGTAATGAGTGCTAGAATCACCCCGCAAATTGGAATTGGCAGAAACGGAGTCTTCAGTCATACAAATTAAGCTCAAATGGAACTAAAACACTGGTTATCTCCGGGAAAACCTCATTTTGATGGAAATTAATTGCAGAATAAAATGCCTGTGCACAAACCAACTTCTATTAAAAAGTCACAACTCCTTGAAAGAAAAAAGAGAGAGAGAGAGAGAGAGAGACAAAATTGTAATTCCTTTTCTCTGGCCAAGAAAAGATATGCCTCATCTTCTAACAAGTTGAGCCAAAGAGACTGGAACAACATTCCTTTGTGATTCTCTGGCCTGTGTGTGTGTGTGTCTGGATGAAATGGAGTGGGTCTCGGGCCTCAGTGTTATCATCTGTAAAATGGGGCTTGGCCTAAGTGTTCTTGGCAGGGGAGAGGGCGGGGGTTGCACCTCTGATGCTGTGAGCGCCAAACTGTCAGGTATACGGTCCCTGGTGTCTTCTGCCAACTGTAGGTCGAAGGATGTCTCCTAAGGAAGGAAATAAAAAACCAGGGCATGGACCTCATTTGCAGGGTAAGGTGGTAATAGTTGAGTCCTGCAGTCAAAAATGGGAGGCCTCCAGATGCTGCCACCTGAGTGGTGACTCTTGTAGCCTGGGTCAAAGAAGCCTTCTATATGAGCTTGACCTTCTCTCCAAGCCCAGCTGTTATCAAAGGAGAGACCAAGAAGGCTTTGCTGTTCTCTGGAGTTCACCACTGTTCATCATGTCAGACCACATTTTGTACAGTTGTTCGAACAAGCCAGTGACCTAGGTCATGCTGCCATTTGTCGGATGAGAAAACTGAGGCCCGGGAAGGGGGGATCTGGTTTGCCGTAACTCCCTTGAGCTCAGACCCTCCTGGCTCCACGCCCCACTCTCTCGGTAGCTCTTTCTCGCCAGGCCCCTGCTGTGAGGACTTTGTGCAGGGTCTTTTCTCTCCCAATTCTCAGCTGCTCCCTCAAGCAATCATTGGCCAAGGACCTAGCAGCATCCACCCTATCAGCCTGGCAGGCTCGGTGCACCCCAAGGCCATTTCTCCCCACCGGGGGGCTAGAATTCTCATCTGGAAAACCCCATGCCGGGGGACCCACCACCAGCCCAGCTCAGCCCGAGCAGCCAGCCTCTGTCTGGAGCATCCACATCAGAGCGGGGAGAAGCTCCTGTGTCCTCCAGCATCCCGGGACCCTGTCCTCTACCCAGTGACACAGCGGCCGTGGCTTGTTTATTTCTGGTGTCCACAGCTAAGCATAACCTTCCTGGGGTTTCCGATTTTTCAGCCTGTACGAAACATGTCTCTCTGTTCTAATAAAAGGTTCCATGGTATGGTGTTCTCAAACGTGGCCCAGCCTCCTCTGTCTACGTGGGGTGCCCAGAAGCGGGGAGGGGGGGAGGTGTGGCAGGGAGACGGTGTAGGGAGGGGGGGCAAGAGCCCCTGGGCACATGGTCGCATTGCTCACCTCCTTTCTTCAGTCTTCAAAACAAGCCTGTAGGCACTTGGGTTTTACATAGACATTCATAGCATCCACGGAATGCCTCGGGGAAACCTTTCTGTAAGCATTTTACGTGCATTATCTTAGTCTTCACCACAACCCTCGGAGGTAGGCATTAGAATCTCCTTCCTCCCAAGAAGGAAACTAAGGCCCTGCAAAGCCAAGTCCCTTGCCCAAGGCCGCGGTGTCAATGATAGGATCCATGCAGGCTGACGGCAGACCCCCGGCTGTGCACAGCTCTGCTTTGCAGCACTTCAGCTGATGCAGAGAGGACGCAGTTCTCTCTGGTAGGACCGTGTTTCTCCCAGGCCTTCATGGGCAGGAGGAAGTTCGGTGTGTAGGGCACAGATGTGGGAGTCCAAAGACCTGGATTCTAAGATATACCCTGCCATTACTCGCTATGTAGCGCTGAGCAAGGATGATACCCCATTGGGGCTTAGTTTTCTCATCTGTAAAATGGAGGCAGCAACAGTTCTCTCCCCGGGATGCTGTGGGAACTAACTGGAATGTGGCTCTAAAAATACCTGATGCCTGGGAAGCACTCAGTGAATGTTAGCGTGACTACTCTTCCCTCACCCGAGACTGAACTGTGGGAGCGGGGCTCATGGAGACAGCCCTAAGTAGCCAGCTGGGAATAGTGGGGTTCCTGCAAGGCCCTGTGAAGGCCCCCCAGATATGTCCTCAGTGTCCAACTTCAGAGTTTCCTGCCACAGGGAGCAGAGGTTGAAAACACCCACAGGGGCAGGCAGGTGAGGGAAGTGGGCAGCGTTAGGACTGTGGGGACCCAGGGAGCCCAGCACATTACATCCAGCTAGCTAGCTCAGCTCAGTGTTGCCAGATCTCCCCATTTCTCAAGAGGATGAATTTTTAGATAAAATGTACTGATTTTTAAAACGTGGGTCACCCATTCTTTTTTTCAAACATTATGCAAGTCAAAAAAAGTTATACAAACACATGTGTGGATAATGTACATCATCCCAGGGCCCAGACAGCCCTGACCCACCCCCATCCCCAGGGCTACAGCCCCCGGCCTGTAGCACAGCCCTGTCTATACCTGACTAGGTTCTCAGCTAGGAGAGAAAGAGCAAACAAAATAGGTTACCACTGTCGCATCCCCTTGTATCTTGCCCCTCTGGAAACCTCCCTTAAAAATCATTTGAATGGGGGCGCCTGGGTGGCTCAGTTGGTTGGGCGACTGCCTTCGGCTCAGGTCATGATCCTGGAGTCCCGGGATCGAGTCCCACATCGGGCTCCCCCTGCTCGGCGGGGAGTCTGCTTCTCCCTCTGACCCTCCTCCCTCTCATGCTCTCTGTCTCTCATTCCCTCTGTCTCAAATAAATAAATAAAATCTTTAAAAAAAAAAAAATCATTTGAATGGGACAACCTCCTTGGGGTAAATCCATTGCTATCCACCGGGGCCCACCAACACCACCACACGCACGATTTCTTTCTTCCCCAACAGGCTAGGGTAAGGCCGCAACCTGTGTCCCCTTATGAGGCTTCATCAATAAATAATAGTAGTAGTAATAATAAAAATTAACTTTTTATGGATCAGTGATCCTGTGCCAAGCCCTTTTCATGCTTAACTTACTTCCTTTTCGTAACAACCCTGTTTAGCCCCATCTGACAGATGAGAAAGTTGAGGGTCACAGAGGGAGGACCACATAGCTAGAGGGTATTTGAATCTCGGTCCGTGGGCTCCAGGACCGTTTCTGCTGCACCTCTTTGCCTCTGAAGGTGGGAGCCCCATAACTCAGAGCTAGCCCTTCGGAAGGGCCCCCCAGGACTTTTTCCGGAAAATGTGGCTGCCAGGAGGTTGTGAGGCCAGCCGTCCCTCAGTGACTCACGGAAGAGGGCTCTGCCTTTCTACCTCCTGCTCTGGCTCCCAGTTAGGGGAATCGGGTGTTCTTCTGGCTCTTGGTCTGAAGAGGCGCCCCACCCCCTCCCAGCCAGCACAGGGGAGGCCTTGGGCGATGGCTCTCTTTCAGGACAAGGATGGAGCCGAGGCAGCCTGCGGCCGGCACCCTTACCTTCCGCAGTCCCAGGGACACGCACAGCCTCTCCTCGGGGTGAAGGCAGGCAGGCAAGCAGGGGAGGCAGGAGGACATCAGAAAATCGAGCTTCGCAAGAGGCAGGGGCCGAGAGCCCTGGTTTGCGTTGTGACCTAAGCAAATCGAGCCCCGCTGGGTCCTAGCTATTTCACCTGTGAAAAGAAGTTGGGTCAGGCCGGTGGTTCTTAACGCTGGCTCTGCATCAGAGTGAACTGTGACCTTTACAAAGCCAGACACCCTTGAGTGCCCCACCACCATCCCCAATAACAAGGGCTGCTGAGGGTGGGTGCCAGGGGGCGGGGTTTTCAAAGGCTTCCTCGGTCATCAGCTATGAAGCCAGGATTGGGAACCACTAAATTACATGACACCATAAATGTGTGCCGCTCGGTGTGAGAGCGTAGGTGGGCTCTTAGCCACGGCGACAGTAATGACAGCACGACCAACAACCCTCCACACTCCCGTAAGACTGATTCCAAGCCCTTGACGTATATTAACCTAAATTACTTTATTTATTAACCTAAATTACGTTATTTCATCCTTGCAACAGCCTTATGAGGCAGGGACTATTTTTATGCTGATCTTACGGATGCAGAAACTGAGGCACAGACTGGTGGCCCCACTTACACAGCTAATAAGTGGCACAGCTGGACCCCAGGATGCGGGGAGTCCAAAGGGACGCCTAACGCCTAAAACCACCTCGGAAGGCATCACAGAAGAAACTGACCCCTTGGCCTGGGAAATGAGCAGAATGGGCCAGGCCAGGAAAGGGAGCTCAGGAAAGAGGAGGGAGGACTGGGGATCCCAGGCAGGGGCGACTGCGTGTGTAGAGGACCAGGGCAAGGACTTCCACCTGCCAAAAGTAGGCTCTTGGTCCCCCGCCTACCCCGTGCATTCCTTCCATAGTGCTCTACTGTCCGCACCTAGTTTGTTTGTTTACTTGTTTATTGCCCGTCTCCAAGAGGACAGAAGCCTTGTCTGCCTCATTCATCCCCCATCCCTGTGTGCCCGGAGGGAGGGCCATGCCCAGCACTGCGTCTGTCAAATGATTAAATCTGCCTGGGGCTGCCAGATCTGCTTCCTTCTAAATCCCACGCATTTTTGAACTGGTTAATTTTTACTTTAAGTTGCAGGTGCGGAGTATGGCTAGGAGAACTGTGGCAAAGCAACAGCGTGTCCCACGCAGGCACCCTATCTCTCATGCACACATTCTACCCACGAGGAGCTGTGTCCCTCCCTGGGAGTGAGAGAACGCAGCATGGGGATGAGGCAGACGGATGTGAGCACCTACTATTCATCCAGCACTGTGCCAGGCTCGGGGGTATAGTCCCTAGGGTTAGAGACAGGTGTGATCTTTAAAAGGCAGTGGCTTGGGAGTCACAAGACCTGGGTTTGAGCCTGACTGCTGCTTCCTAGCTGTGTGTCTTTGTGTAAGCGGCTTAACCTCTCTGAGCCTCCGGTTCCTCATCTTTCCAATGGGGATGCTAAAAGTATCAATCTCAAAAGGGCGCCACGAAGATATGATACACATAAAGCACTTAGCCCAGCCCCTGACTTAGTATCATTGTTACTGACACAAAAGGGGGTGGGAGTTGGGTAGGTTCAGTTGCCTAGGTAAGATCACAACAAGTTTCTGGGAGGGTTCCAGGTCACCTCGGCAAAGGTCCAATATTCTCTCACCTTTCATCACCTCGAATACCAAATTCTCAAGAGAGGCACTCCCAGCTGCCTCCCTCCATGAGTATCTTCTCCACCCCAAAGAATCTAGAGTCTCCCAAGAACTTGGCGATTTCCCCAGGTATATCTCCACCCTGATATTTCATCAACATTTTCAACCCAAGTAGTTCTATAGTCCTTTGACAATCTACTCTCAAATCTAAACCCAAAATAAACAACACCAACCACATCATATAGACTTATGTTGCCAAATGGAAAGGGGTTGGAACACAAACACACACACACGCTCACACACACCGAGAGTTTGGTTTTTTCCCTTCGGTTTCCCTCACCTTGAACCCTATTTCTAGATTCAGAATCCATGGCCTCCCATGCTTGGGCTTCAGAGAGTCTGTGAATCCTTTGAAATCCCAGGCAAAGTTTTTACGTATGAAAATACCAACATGTTGATGCAGAGAAGGACATATTCCCCACTAGTTTTCCAGAGGAGCCCAACTTGAAGCCTTTAGGATGGTTCAGCAAAATCCATCTATACACTCTCAGGATATGGTAGAGCTTCTCGTTGCCTCCCAACAGCCACTGCCCTTTCATCCATAGTAATAATTTCAAGTAGGTTCATTGCCACCCAGAATAAAGACAGCATTTCCCAGCAATCCTTGCAGCTAGGTGTGGCCATGTGACTAATTTTGGCCAATGAGATACAGGCAGAATTTTCCACGGTAGCTTCCAGGTATTTCTTTTTCTTTTTCTTTTTTTTTAATTTTTTTTTTTTTAATTCATTTGAGACACAGAGATACAGAGAGAGAGAGAGAGAGAGAAAGCATGAGCAGGGAGAGAGGCAGAGGGAGAGGAAGAAGCAGGCTCCTCGCTGAGCCAGGAGCCTGATGTGGGGCTCGATCCCAGGACCCTGGGATCATGACCTGAGCTGAAGGCAGACGCTTAACCATCTGAGCCACCCAGGTGCCCCCAGGTATTTCTATAGAAGTGATTTGTCATGTGCTTTCCCCCTTCTTCTTCATCCCTTTTTCCTTCCTGCTGGCTGGAATGCAGACATGATGGCCGGAATTCAGGTGGCTCCGTGGTCCATGAGGTGGCTTTGGGAATTGAACCCAT